TAGTAGTAGTAGTAGTAGTAGTAGTAGTAGTAGTAGTAGTAGTAGTAGTAGTAATAATACTGTCGTGATTTGTCCAAGAGGGCCACCATTGTTGAGAAGAAAAATGGTTGTCTTAGACAGGTGGAAGTCTTAGACAGTTTCGTTATGATATAGAAAAACTCAAGGAGGAAGTGAGAAATGTGGGTGGTTGGTGGTTGCTTCGGTACATGGTTTGCTCCTTCTTTCCTATCAAACAAACAACATCCTTATAAATCTCTCCTCATTCTTTTTTTGCGTTTTTTGCTCTTTTGTAACACTTCTTATCTTCGGCACTAATTATGTTACAAGTTCCGTAAAACTCCTATTAAAGTGAGGAGTGGTCGTTTGTACAGGTGAATGTCTTGGTTTGGTGGCTGTTTGATCAGGTTTAACAGTACTTCCTCCTTCAATACTTGTATTTTAGACAGTTTTTCCATGCTACATGCTCTCGCCTTTTCAGACATTTTTTAAAACACATCAGTATGCTGATATAGTCAGAAAAACTCATCTGACCAGGATTGACAACAAGAAGGCACAAGGTTCCTTGACTGTCAATGTCTGCTCCAGATTTGACCCCTGAAGAAGAAAAGAAGAAAAAGGAGTATTGGCCTACTTTTGTGAACGTATTACCGCAAATCACAGTTACAAATGGGCTTAAAAATGTCTCCCTGTGTACTTAAATTGTTTAAGCTGTTAATACGTGTCTGTATAACCCATTTTTGCAAGCGTCCTATTTAGCTGTTAAAGAGTGAACTCCTTACTCGCTCTGTGACTGTGAACCCTGAGTATTATGCTCTAATGAGGTTGCTCTATTACTTTGGTAGTCAACCCCAAATTTGGTTCATTCTAAATACTTTTTTCCTTCAGAAAGATGGCTTTATTTAGGAACGCAATTCACCCAGTAGTAATCGTCGCCATGACAACGGTAGCCGCCTTTATTCTTGGATCTTTACGAGCAACTCGGTTCTTTTGGAGTGCAGTTAGATTTTACACGCAGAGGGGATCACTTACATATAGGACACAAAGTTCGAGAATGTTAAACTTATTTCCCCTGAGTGCGATTCTCTTCTTGTCGTCTCAAGGTCTAAAAAAGGAGGATGTTTGGTCCGAATGAAAATCGATAAGTTTGCGTTTTAGTGAGAAAGAACTTTTTTATTGTTTCTTGGCAATACGCTGCACTAAAATGTACATATGTGTGGATAGAACCGGTTTTCTTTGACAATATATAGCAATTTGCTTTATCTCTTATTAAAACTGTTTTGCCCTATATTATACGGGTCATGGCAAGCCTCGTCATGCAAAAAGCGCAATGGAAAAAGAAGACCATTATGGTTGGTGAGTTTCAAAATACTGAAAGTCTTGCGAAGGAAAGTGAAGGATAAAAAAACACGCTAAAAGACTATTTGTTAGTCCTAGAAAAAAAGTACGACTTTCAATCATGTTTGACTGATTGTACTGACATGGGAGCAGTTCTGAAAAAAATCAGAGTTGTTTTGTTGCTGTGAATATGTAATGATCCGAGGGGATGTTCGTAATGGAAGAAGACATTAATTTTTATCTTTGTATACACGGAAAATGGATCAGGGTTCAGTTGGAGCTCGGTTTGTTAGCCGGGGATGGGGGGAGGTGAGAGAGATTGGAGGGGAGAGGCAGAGAGAGAGAGAGAGAGAGAGAGAGAGAGAGAGAGAGAGAGAGATGGTGGAGGAAGAGAGGGAGAGGGGGGGGCGATATGTAAGGCTGCTACTGACCCAAAGCATTCAGACTTAGTGATGTACTCGATTTGCGATTCTCCGATAAATAATTTTGGGTCAGGGTTGAGCTCAAGGCTGGAGAAGTTGGGTACACAGCCTTTATTTCATCCGAGTAAAACATTTTGAATGAAGTCTTTAAATGATTTGTTTTTGGGTCCCCGTGTACAAGTCTGGGTTTTCCTGTTGGATATAAATAGTTCATACCATTTTGTAGTTTCGGTTCAAACTAGCTTCCGCTTCTCAGAAAATTAGACTTCCGGTAATCAGCCTTCATACCGTGTTATAATCTCTCTGGAGAAGAGTCACCGAGTTCTGCATAATGATTATATCATGAGCTATTGATCTTCATGAGAAGAGCTCACAGCTGGGAACTTGCGCTGGGTGGGTGTTTTAGTGCAGTCTGCTCCTTTTACTTCTTTTCAGTGTTTCTATTGTAATTTTATCAGTGGTAATTTTGGCGGTATTGTTATGACTTCATGTAATGTAATTACAATAATGTAATATGTAAGTGTTTTACGCGCCCATCTGCACTGCTTAGATCATTTAGGAGACAGGCTGCTTCGATCTTCCTGTTCTGAGAGGGATACAATGTCCAGCGGAATGTCTGACTTTTGATGCTTTTCAACGTGATAACTCCACAACGATGCAGATAATAAAAAAGAAGAATGTTCAATTGCAGCAAATACGTTGCTGACTGAAAGTGCAAAGCAAAAATACCCCCCCCCCCCCAAAAAAAAAGATTATATATATAAATATACAATAATGTATATATTACATAATATACTGTTAGAAACTGAACCCAAGAATATGAGTGATGTTTTAGAAATGTGTACTGTAAAGATATTGGTGATTAGCGGGAACTCTGATGTAGTTAGCTCCTTCTTTTCTATTTTCAAAAAATATTGTCCATAACCTCCCCTCCTTTTTTTCGCTGTGTGACACTCTTTAGTGACACATCTAAACGTTGGCCCTTATATGACCTATTTGTGTTGAAAGTACAGCAAAACCTTTTACTGAAACTAAAGCTAAACTGTAAAGGTGCGGGCTGACAGAGCACGGCCGTGCTGACGCAGAGAAGAGCAGTGTAAAACGATCTTCTGTCCTGTCTGTAGTCGCATTAACGACCATGTCATGCTAATCACGTACATGAACGAACTTCGTCGGCCTGGTTTTGAATAACCCTAGTGATTTCCTGTGCACTACTTTTTCGACTATCGGATTCCATGCAGTGCTGTGGTGTTTAGCATACTGTTATTGGAAATTAACTCTGACCGGTGCATTCCCCCGGCGGCTATGTTCTTGTAGGCTGTACAAGTATAAATGTACCTATGTGCCAGTTTAGATCCGGTCATTTGGCTTTCGACGTTAGTCCCATTTCTATACGGTAACTTTTGGCGCAACCATATTAAGCAGACGCAGAGACTGCAGTTTAGCCACTGCCTTGAGTTCGAAACCACTGGTTGGCCAGACCATCGTTGGTCGCTTTACACGTCTCGTCCGGCTTCGACGAGGCTACAAACTCGACCATCACGCTGAATGTCAAAGTTCCAATCTTAATGAATGTCAGGTTTGCTTTTCGTTTTAATCAACTTTTCTTTTCTTTACCGATCGGAAGACCTTTTGACAAAGCCTGTACTCTGACTTGATGAGCGCAAAACTTTAGCAAAAGAGTAACGTGCTCTAACCGACTGTTTCTTTTTTTTCTTCCAACGCCCCCCCCCCCCCCCAAAAAAAAAGAATGCCTCTCAAAGAAAGGCAAAGAACTTGAAACTTGCTGCCCTGTAACTTCACGAAATTTGGACAATACCGTGTGCCGGGACAATAAAAGCACGACATTATTTATTATACACGGAGACTATAGAATGAGAGAAAATAGGGTAGAATTTGAAAGGTGTTTCGTTTAATTCTTTGTTTTAAAGGGTATTCAGTTGACACTCTGGCTTCTAGCCGCTGGCATTTTCGGCGCTAAACAAGCATGTGCTTTGTTGTGCTCACACTTCTTCGTATCGTTTTACTCGGCTGTATTCATGCCAAAGTATACATGAACGCGTCAGCTGATCGAACCTACTGAACCCTTTTCAGGGAAAAAAGCAAGACAAGGGACAGAGATGCTTTTTCCGAATTCAGTTGTTCATCGTGCCACATTTTTCCATGGGTCGACATGTAGCCTATCTAGGAATTGAGACAGGTTCAGCGCTGACGCAAAGTAAAAAGTCCCCCCCCCCCCTCCCTTTTCCCCTCTTTTTTTCCAAAAAGTAAAAACGTTTTTCGGATTTTTATTCTTAAAAAAAAACTCGTGTTGGTAGAATCTCACGTCGTGTCTAAGTTGGCGCCAATTTGAATGGTCGTCTGATGCATTATTCCAGGACAGGAAAGTAGAGTTCCCCTGGCGGTTCTGCGTGTCTTGACTTGGTCTCATGAAATATACACCGAGCTCTTCTTGGCCGTTTCACGCCAGAGTTGCTCCCCATAGTCCCGGTTGTTTTACTTGATTCTTTACTGCGTGGTTCTACTGTTGGTCGCTGTGCTTTGTTTTGCACAGCTCATTGAATTGGGGTTTTTTTTCCGTTACAAGTAACAGAATGCGGATGTTGGGGTTGCTTTCTGTTGTGCCTTGCTTTAATTCTGAAAGTGATTTAGCTTCTTGGGGAGGCGAGACGGGTTGTAATAGGTGAAGAAGGAAAGGAGCAATTTTCAAAGTGGTTAGGAATTGAGTAGATGTGGTGAGTGGGCTTAGAAGTTCTAGGTTGGTTTATCTCCGTTTCGTGGATTTTTCCTGTCCTTATTTTTTTGGTGCTTTTTTTTAGGGGGGGATGTTAGTGAGAGTTTATACGTGCGTAAATGTACAATTGCTTACCTCTTTTTTAATGCCCTTTTCTGTTTGTCTGTTTGTTTGTTGTTGTTTTGTAATGTGCTGGGAGGAAAGGATTGAGAAAAGGGGGGGGGGAGCATTTTGGATTGGCTGTTGGCTACAGTTCTTCTCTTCAAATGTTGTTGTTGTAGTCTCGTCACAATGAAATATTTGCCGTTGTTCATGAAAATAACGACAGAAACACCTATGTGAAGATATTTTTCTTTGACCAGCAGTTTTTCTCTTGAAATGTTTATTTGTATAGAAATGACCAAATTTTTAAAACAAATTAAATAACTATTTAATGTTTTACGCTTTCTCCAGACCACCTTACAAGGAGACAGGACGGAAACTCGGGTGGTCCCCGCGAGCGCCTCTGGTGCTACCTCCTCCACCACGTCGGCGACGGTCAACGGTGGTCACTACTATCCGGGTTCGTACCCCCAGCACGACTGCCAGCAGGTCAACTACCACCACCACCACCACCACCCGTCCCACATCAGCAACGCCCTCCTCCATCAGCAGCAGCAGCAGCAGCAGCAACAGCAGCAGCCGCCGAGACTCATCAACACGCCTTACGGGCAGGTCCCCGCCCACACCTCTTCTCTGGTCGTGCCGCAACACTCTCGCTACGCTCCGTCGCATTACAAAAAACTGGACGGCGGCGTCTACAACAGCTCGTCCAGCTGCACAAGTGATCGCTCTCCTGTGTACGAGAGTATCGGGGACAACGATTCGATCCGCGAGCGGTGTCGAGGGGCGAGGGACACCTCCGTGTCTGAGTGTGAGTTCTGCGAGTGCTGCGAGCACGGGAGCGAGCAAGGAGGGGGAGGAAGCGCAGGCTACGCCGGTTATCAAGACCCAGTGTTCTTTAAGGGAGACCCTCCAACCTCCTCCTCTGGGGGTGAGTATAGCGCAGATAAAATCCGGCATAGACCCTACCACGATCCTGCCACGATATGTCCTCACAGGCCGACAGAAGACCCGCCAGGCCCCTGCCCGCCTATGTTCTCAGACGGTTTCTACGGTGATAAAGGCTCTCCCCAGACTCTTCCTCTGCGCCCTTTGAGAGGCGGCGGTCGCGGAGGGAAGGCCAGCAGTATTAACGAGCTCCCGGATGGCGATGAGCCCGGAGGGGTGGCAGACGAGAGGATCCCGCTCAAATCGGGCTCTGTTTTGTTGCCCGAAGGGGGCGAGGAGGGCTCCATGAGGCGGCGGCCGTCGTCAGGCAGCAGCTACAGCAACAGCAGCTCCCACTACAGGGAGGGAAATTACAACGGACAGCGACGCCCCATTCCGGCCCTTCACCCTCACTACTTTGTGGCGTCACCGGATGACACGATCAGCTGATCTCCGAGACATGCGCAGTCGTGACTGTTGACACAGCGGATGTGACGTTTATGAGAGCAGGAAAAATGTGACAGACGGCAAAGATTGCTATGATATCGTTTCTGGCTTTGCCCAAACATAGAGAGGGAGAAAGAGAAGGGGTCGAAGAAAGAAAAGGAGAGAGAAGGGGGGAAAGAGGGGAGAGAGAGAGAGGAGGGAGAGAGGGGAAGAGGCGGGGGCAAAGAATTAAAGGAAGAGAGAGAGACAGGGAGAGACAGAGACAGAGGTAAAGGAGAGAGAGAGGGGGAGAGAGAGAGAGAGAGAGAGAGAGAGAGAGAGAGAGAGAGAGAGAGAGAGAGAGAGAGAGAGAGAGAGAGAGACTGTCTTTCTGAATAGCCATTTCAGTGTGTCAAAACATCCTGATGAATCAAACAGTGTTGCACAATGTCAGTCGCCGCTGTCGTCCCTGGGAATGCTACAGAAACGGATACATCTTTTTTAAAAATAAATAACACCTCACGCTTTTGCAAGGCAAATTTTCTTTCTTGCGATTTCCTGTATTCTTGAGTAATACAGGATGCCGTTGGGCACAGTGCTTATGTTGTGGACAGTTATGTGGGACATACAAATATGAAAACACCAGCCACAAATGTTGTGAATTCTTTGTAGAACGTACGAGGACGATTGATTCCTTCCGGATACAAATGACAGAGACGTGCGCGGCTGCAGGCAATCCAAATGCCAACGCCAACTGCGGACATGTTTTAATTGGGTATTAAGTATATTCATGAGAAACTTTCACAAGCACGTACCTTCAACTGCTACGCTGTTGCACGCTGAAGAGGAAATTGAGTTACTTTTGTTCTCGGTTTCTTTTTATTCAAGACTGTGTGTATTTTTTTTTGTCCAGCTAGATGATGCATCAACTGCTCGTCATGGTACAAACCATTAATTAATTCAATCAATTACACGTTGATTCAACTCTGCTGTCTGCGACCAACTCTTACAGCGTCCTCTGCTCCTCCCCAGCACATCCCTTCATCTTGATCTAGCAGTGAATCTGTCACCCCCCACCCCCTCCCACTACCTTTGCCTCCCTCCTGAGTTTTCGTTGGCCGTGCTCCTATGTTGAAGCGGGGATCAAGCGAGGCACTGAAGTGCTGCCTTGTGCGCGGACTTGCTAATTCTCTGGCTGATGCCTGGAATAATGTGATAGAATCGCCCTTGGGGAAAGACACAAGGCATGAAATGAACGTTTTCTCCTCGTATTTTCTTTGTTCGTGTGTCAACTGCGCGACAGATACGAGAACTATTACAAGCGATGATCGTCATAACTCAATCAGCCCACGCCTTTTGCTTCATCCCTGCAAAGAGACAATTTCGGATATGTATAACTACTCTGTGGAAGTTGCTTACGTCGAATCGCTGTTCCCCTCCACTTCTTCTGGTCGTGATTTTTTTGCCAGCAGTGAGACACCTACCAGACACGTATTATGTGATGAATATAATTTCTCTGTACTCTGTTGATGAAGAGCATAATATAATGCTGTTCAGAGGACCGCATAATATTCAACGTGTGAAATGTGGTATTCTTTGGGATCTCCAGGATGTCTATAGAATTATACTGTAGACTGCCTTGACATTCTTTAGAATCCCATGCCTTATTGTATTCCTTTCAATACCAGCTTTTCACATTTTGCCAAGAACATAATAACAAATTTTATTTTTTATTCGGGATCGCACGTAAAAAAAGAGGCAGTCTCATCGAACGTCAAGAAGGGACTACCCTGTTTCCCTCTGTATTACTTTGTCTGGGAATACATCTTTTGCTGACAGGAAGAGGGGGAAACAAACTGAGGGAGGGGAGAGAAAGGGGTGGGGTGGAGGAGAAGGGAGACAAGAGAGAGAAAAAGTAAGGTACGCTGGTGGAAGGGGGAGTAGGAAAGGGGGTAAAAGTCTACTTGCGCCGCCCCCATTATTAAAACAATCTGAAAACGTCTTCTGTGGACCACGTCATGGCGAGTGGCGACCCACCTGTGGCCCCGCAAAGAGTGGAGGCCTGGGATGTGCGTTATAGGTCATGTAAGTTCCGAATGGATGGTTCAAATAGACTTTTACTGGGAAGGATGAAGGGATTTG